TAGATGATCGTCGATTGAAATCGCAAGTGAGATGCGATCTCAAACTAGGGTTTGAGAGAGGATCTGAGACTGTGTTTTGATATACGGTAAGAGAAAGAGCGAGAGAATAGGAGAATAGCATTGCACGAGGAAGATCACGGCAAAAAATAACAACGAATTGCCATCTCAATCGCCTCGGAGAAGAAGAACACAGAGAAAAAAAAAGTTCGGCCAAATGAGATCTCGTCTCGTCCTCTTGCCCACAAAAAAAATCGACGGTCCAACCAAAAGCCGACACATGGCCAAGTGAGACGACTCAAAAGGCTCAACGGGCTGATACGTTTCAAGCTCAAAAATATGTTAACCCAAATTTTTAATACATTTTAATGGGTTGATACCCACTAAAAATCATTGATAATGATGCTATAACTGGTTTGTCTATCAATATCGAAATTTTCTTCCCAAAAAGTCAAACTTATTTGTGGAAGTCTTTCGTTTTTTAGAAACACCAAATTATACTCGATTTGATTTTAGATTATTCAAATTGTGATTTGTAAAATTACATTCAAGTATGTTGTTATTACAATATTTCAGATGTTTTAATGATTTAAAGATGTTTTAGAGTGATTTCCTAATTAAGTTAAATAAAAACGGATTTTAATGAATTTATGTGATCTTATTTTCAATGACCCTGATCTAGAGGGACGTGAGATCCACTCGCGTGAGATATTTCTCTCCCAAGCGTCGAAGCAAGCTTTCCGTCCGATCTTCTCTGAGGCTTTCTCCGGCCGCCGGCGCTTTTCGATGGTGTTGCAAGAGGGCCTCCTTGTGTGTGTATATGTGTATATCTCTTCATCGTTGTGTTTAGGTTTTCGTTGGAGGTATCAGAGGATGTAGTTCGGCAAAGGCTCCGGTGGTAGCAGGTCAAAGGTTGTTTGATCGACGAAGGCTTGGGTTCAATAGAATGGTGTGTTTGGATTCAGTTTCGTGCTTCGTCTGGAGGGATTCGTGCTGTAGTGTCAGATCTGGGTTATTGCATATCTTTGTTCGGCTAAGGTATCGAATTCAAAGGACGGCGAGATGTCAGAGTCTTGGGTGATTGATGGTCTCAGATTTGGTCTAGTTTGTAAGCCTGATTAGGTCCTCTTGATTTTGGTTCTATGTTGTGCCTATGTTGTTCTGTCATCTTGGTTTGTGCTTTCGACTTGGTTGTCTGGTGGGCTTTCTCTATCAGCCTTTTCGTTTGGGTTGTTTGGCTAGGCTGTGCTTGGGTTAGTTGTTTAGTTGCGTTGTTAGTCCATTTCTAATTAGTTTGGGTGAACTTTGCTAATTGTCGGTTTCTGTGGCCGTAGTTACTTGTCGAGGTTGGGTATTTTTTCGTTTAGCCTTGGTTTAGTCGTTGAATCTTCTTTCAACCTTCTTCCACCGCTTTTAGTGTAGCCAATAATCAGTTTTTGCCTTTAGTCTTCTATGATCAGTTCTTGTAAGGCTAACCTCGTGTGGGGACGCAAAGTTCGTGATTTAGACTTTTCATGGGCGAAAATTAGGTGTTTGTAATGGTATTCGTCGTATATGGATACTTTGGTAGCGATTTTCCTTTGCCTCGATGGTTTCTTGTGAGTTTTGCTATCCGCGTATGCAACTCTTCCCACGCTTTCCGCTTGTTATGCAAGTGTCTCTCCTTGACTTCTTTTTAGCGGTTTCAATTCCGGTTCTGTTTATCCCGATTGTTTTATATCGTATCTGCTTGTTTTTCTGATTTTTGTGTTTTCTATTTATGGACTTTCGGTTCTGGTATTGTCCACGTAAATAGCCGTCCTGTGGCTTTCTATGTGGTATTCCTTTGTATTGTACTGGTTTTTAAAATACATCGGATGAAAAAACAAAATGTGATCTTATTGTTTAGGAATGTCAACGCAACATATCAAATTTTTTTTCTTTCAAAATTCACATATAAACAGTAAACATCTTAAATTTAATCAAATCTTCCATTTATATATTCCCAATGGCAGATTGATAAGCCTCTCTCTAGCTGTATTATTTATTGTAAGTTTCAAGATTTCATCATGCTTTTTGAGTGAAGGCACGTTTATGATTGAAATGAATAATTTTCTTTGGTAATCAAACACCATAATTGAGTTACGTAACATTGGCCCTCTAATTATGAATTTAGTATTGAACTTTTCACCTGTAAGGCTGTCAATTAACAAGATTTTTGTTCTCTCTCTTTTGGATTCTTTACCGACTCTCTCTCTCTCAACTTTTTCTTCTTTGTTTTTCTCTCAACAATCTTTCAATTTAAGTTTATTTAGGCCATCATTGTTATGGATTGCCAATGCATATTTTTACTCCCGTTAAAGGAAGCAAAAAAACAAAATAAAATTATAAACTATTTTATTTCTGATAGAAACAATACATGTACTAGTATGGTTGTTGGAACCATACCGAATCATGTAATTTCGTATTGGGAACAGTCTCAATCCCATTATTTTTTAGAGGTTAGTATTTCGCTTATCTCTATTGCAAAATACTGTTTACCTATTAATGAATTTGTTGTTTTTCTACGGTGAATGATTGTACTTTGTTGTGAATTAATTTCTAATTAATATAACAAGTTGGCTATAGAAAGATATACATGCGAAATATCATATAACAACACAAAAATAGTTTTTTTCTCTAAATCAAGCAAACTAAATTTAAAATTCCAAAACAGCAAAAACTATTACAGTATGTGAAAATATATGTTTACCGGTAAATGAAAATATAGGTACCTAAATGAATTACAAAAAAAATGAAAATATTATGGTTGATTTTTGTTTTTCCATTTAGGTTTATGTGTATCCCATTTAAAAAGAATTTTGAATCATTTGATTTTGAATTAGTGTTGTTGTTGAAAATTTAAATTAGTGGTGCTATGTTTGGAGCAAAAACTTAAAAATTTATTATTTTACAATATTTCCCAAAACATATAATTACATTTTCGTTTTTTTGTTTGTTGCTTAGATAAAATTAATTTTTTTTAAGAAATAATGCATCATCAGTTGAGATAATTAAATGTGATGGATCATCAGTTTTCTGGAAAAAAATTCAACGTGTTTCGACATAAAAATTAAAAAAGTTTGTACAGATAATTAATTAACTATTCACTGCATTATTATTATTTTTATATATTCGTTAATTTTTTAAATTCTAGAACTCTAAATTTTGGCATTTACACACAACATTGATTTCTATATCTACTTCTGAGGGTATTATCGTAATTGCATTCGAACTGACAGCAAATCTGGCGCGCGAATGGTTACTCTCCTTCCTCCCACCTTCAGACAAATCAGACATTTATGTAAATCCACACCACCAAAATTGGATTTTAGTTATCAATAGTACACACTTTTCCCCAACATATTTTGTTTTTTTAACATTTTACCATTACATAAAATATGACAATCAAATTAACAATATACGTATAAGAATCTCCACAATCTTCGGTTCATTGTCTCTTTGACATTTAAAAATAAATTTTTTTTTGACATTTGATAATTTTTTAGAGAAATTTTTTTATTTTAAATTAGATAATATTTTCAAATTTCAATATAAAATTAAATATATATATTTTTTTATTATTTATATTTTGCATATTGATTTTTATTGGTTAAATTGTATTTAATTGCATAATAAATGATATTTTAATTTAAAAAAATTAAAGAATTTAAAATTTTCTTAATTTATGTGATAAATCTTTAAAAATTATCTATTGTAATACAGAGGAAATATATAATAAAATAACGAATATATAAATTTGTGTATATAAATTT